GGTTTATTTGTCTAAAAATTATTCTCCAAATAATGTTTTATATTTAAAAAGAATAAAAAATAATTTTCATGGCTTTCATAATGGATCTTGTGATCCCACGATCACGTAAATAAAAAGATTAAATAATTGTGAAATTTTGTTTAGTGTCCAAAAGTTGTTCATGTTCTGCCAAATATATATATATATATATATATATATATATATATATATTTAATATTTCTAATTAAAAAATATTTCTTTTCATGAGTACAAATAAAAATAATAAAAAATAATTTTAAACATGGCTCTTTCATAGCGAATCTTATGATCACCGGATCACGTAAATAAAAATATATTAAATAATTGTGAAATTCAATTAGTTGCTATATTAAAGATATTAACCTATGGCCCTTTGAGTTAAACTTTTTCATTTAAAAAAATTGTTAAGCCTAATTTTTTAAAAAGTAATTCGCAATTTAGTACCCAGTCTTTCAACTTTTTTTTTTTMAAATTTTTTCTTAATGTATTAAAAATTCTCAAGTTATTCCTTAGAAATATATATTAAAATTGGTGGATAAAAAATCGATGCATTATTAAATTGTTGTTTTGTTAATGTATCTATGAACACGCCACTCGCAGTGAATAAAATCATAGTTTAATGATACATCAACTTTTTTATTGACAAATTGTAACAATTTTTTGTAGTGAATGACTTCATTGAGAAATTTTGATTCATTATGGGTACATTTTAGAAATTATTGGAGACCATGGGRTCTATTTAACCTAAATTAGTGAAAAAAAAAAACTATTCTGGTCCCTCTAATATCAGCTTTTTTCATCAATGTACTTTAAAACCGTCCATTTTGGTCATTGTAATTTAAACTTTTGTCTACTTTAGTTCTTATACTTTTAAAATGTTTTTTTTTTCTATACCTTTAAAGATGATCATTTTGGTCTATTAATTTTATATTTTATCTCATTTTTTCAATCACAATTCAACACGACAGTACAGTCCATATATTTTTGAAAATGGTAGTCATAACTTTATATAAAAGAGTTTTTGTCTGTATAAAATTTGTATAAAAATTTTGCAAATAGAGATCGAAATGATTATGAACCAAGCAAACATTTTAATACTACAAAAATAAAATAAATCAAAATCAAAAGATCAAGAAACACAAAAAAAAAAAGATCAAGAAACACAAAAAAAAAAAATTGAACCAAAGTAGTATTTTAACCAAATAATAATAACAATAATGATTTAATAATAACGATAATGATATCAACCTAAACATAGCTTTAAGACATCTAATTCCGATCAATGATAGAGAAATTTTCCATCCAAGGGCCTAATATTACAGTTAAAAAAATAAAAATATAAGAATAATAACGATAATGATAGAGAAATTTTCCAGTGGATGGTGGTGGGGTCCACAAAAACACGTTGAATGTTTAGTATTTAAAAAAAAGGGTCTTGCTTGGCTGCATGCCAAACGGAAAACCGGTAACTGGGAAAGTCAGCCAGAAGGGGAGGATTGGACCGTTGATTTAATTAATTAATTAATTAATTTTGGTTGGGTTGCGGGGCCCATTTGTAATTTTAGGAAAAACTGAGGGCTTTGGTCAAAAGTCAAATACCGGGGACTCTGACTATGCCCATTTGGCTAATGGCTTTGCTCCACCAAACGCGTCCAAAGGGGATTCATCGTGCTTCTTCCATTTTTACCCTTTTTCTTTCTTTTCTTTTTTCTTTTTTTGTGAAAAATTCTTTTAATTAATTAAAAAATTATTTTAAAATCCCTATAGTATTTAGTTACATGGTGAAAAAGGGAGTTTTATTTTGGGGAAAAGATTTACTTTTAAAAATATTCAAAAAAAAAAAATTATTGTGTTTAGTTATATAATCAAAAAGGGATTTTTTTTCTGAAAAGGTTTTTTTTTTCAATTCAGTTTTGTAAATTTCATCGAATTTAACTCAAAACTTGAAAYTTGAAAAGATATCAAAATTAGGTTAAAAAATAATGAGAAAAATCTACTTAGTTGTATCAAATTTCATCTTAAAATTTCAATTTGATCAGACTCTAAAATTAGATACGTGTTACAATTTTTACTCTCCATTTATATTCCGCTAATTTACCAATTGTTTTTCTTTAACCTTTCTTGACTAATTTTATTTGGGTGGGACATCTTAATTAAAGAGGAGAATAAAATATAAATTTAACTTTAGGTAATCAWACCATAGTATTTATTGTGATGTTAAACTTTATATGAGTTATATAACTTTTGAATTTGTTTAAATATATATATAACTTTTGATTTGACGAAGAAGCATTAATTAAGCGTTTTTCTCTTAAAGTACTATAATACTCTTTTCTTGTAAATGATATTGTAACTAAATGATTTCACTAAAAGCACTTGAATGTTTTGCGAATGGTTTTAGAATATTTTAAAGTAACTTCGTTGTCAATCTAACACGATATTTAAAAAAAAATGATTTTAATTAGCCAAAAAGATTTTTTAATAATTCAAAATTTAAAAAGTTAAATAAGTTCTCGAAACCTCAAAGGAACTTTACACTGGCTTAAAACTTAGAGATCGGGTAATAGAATTCTCACCGAAATAATAATAATAATAATAAGGAACAAAGTTTACAATATATGCATAAACATTTTTTTCTAAATATAAACGTCATGGTTCATGCTCGTCAAAGATTTATTCTGTGATTGCATGCTCATAACATCCTCTTCCCTCATGCTTTCATTCTATGTATTTAGTACTTCTGCGTTCTCGTTTCATTGTACATTTGGTGGGAAGTGCTTCCTAGCCACTTTTCATACTCACACGTGCTAGAATTCTTACAAGAGTACCACTATTTACGATCCTTCGTACTTTAAGTTGTATGCTATATATAAAGTGTCATTGTTTATCTTATATTAATTTAAGCGTACAACATATTTCCAAAATRTTTTCCAGTGTTAACAAAATTTCTCGAACTATGTTTTCTAAAAACCGTTTCTCGAAAACTACACTTCTCTTTTAAAAAGACTAAGATGAAATAAGCAAGAATAAATATGATATTGACCATGCATATAAATAAACGTACAATTTAAATACGTTGAATATTAACTTTAACATGGTGGAGAGGGAGAGGATTATCCAAATACAAAAGTCATTAAATATAATATTATAAAAAGATGGCTTTGTCAATACAAATAATTGATCAATATTATCAACTAAATTCTTTGAATTGACTTCAAACCAAACCCAATAGTTCTTTTGGCCTAATCACTCTTATCAATTATCTCTAATTAATTCAACTATCTCAATTGTTCCTTACACAACAAAAACTGAATGAATGTTCCAATTAAAGAAATGCCGCGTATTGATCTTTAAAAGAAATAATATTATAATTTATTGAAAGCACGTAATAATACTTTTACGAATGATTTTATTTATGAAAACGTACTGGGAGGTAAAGACTGTAATACTTATTTTAAGATAAAATTACAACACTTATTAAGTTTAAGGTTCAAATAAGATAAAATTTATTTTTATCTATATATTTTCCTTTTTTTCTTTTAGTTCAAATATGAGTAGGTGAGATTAAGATGTAAAGTATCTAACTTAAAAAAGAAAGCTACTATTATATRATCACTTGAATTATGTTTAGGTTGGTTTGAACAATTTTTTTTTAATACACATTGACTTAACTTCTATACCTAATCTCTTTCATTTTTTATAATTAACACAATTTCATCTCTCATTGAGATGACCCAAATTATTGGTATATTGGAAAAAAAAATTAAGAATCGGGTTTTGTCTCAAAACTTCAAAATGATTTTTTTTTAAAAAAAAGGAAAAAGTTATAGACGTCAAGAAGGGGAAAAAAAAACAAGAACAACAAAAATGGTTAATTAAACTTGAAAAAGAAAAAAGATTGCATTTGAAGAGGTTAAAATCTTTGAATTATTAAAAAAATATATTATTATCACACGAAGAGTAATCCGGAAAAAAGAAAAATCACGGTACAATGATCAAGTTAGTAATTTTTGAGGATCTATCAATAATGTGCATACTTGAATATGAGATTTGTCCCCTATTTATACTAGCAGTAAGTGATGCTTASCGAGAGTTGGTTATAAGACACTTTCACAAGAATTTTAGCGTAGGATCTGTCATCATACTCGTAGTATTGACAAACYCTCACTAAATTCACTCAGTATTTCAATACATTAACTCACACATACGAGGTAACAATTCATGTATCTACAAATTCGTGTATATTCTAAGGAATTAGATCTAACTTAAATTCTAACAAACAATTCGTGTGAGTTGTCACCCCAGTCTATTAAAGATTCCCCCACTGATACTCTATCCCTATCCCGCGGGTACAGTGTTTGAATCAATAGAGAACCTTTTCTTCTGTATYTGTAGGAATCGATATTATTACATTCCAATTTCCTTCCTGATACCTCCCAAGGAAAATTTCGAATTGGATCCAAAATTGATGGRTTAGTGTGAGCTTATCCATGCAGTTATGCACTCTTCGAATAGGAATTCATTTTCKGAAAGATTCTAGCTTTCGTGCTTTGGTGGGTCTTCGAGATCCTTTTGATGAGCACACCGATTATCCAGCACAAGGCCGTTACATCTATCATATGATTTTCTAGTTTCACTTCTTTTTTGGTTGTTCCAGACCTATTACCTCGCCCCTTTAACAAATTTCTTTCTAAAAAAAGAAAATTGAATTATTGATTTTTTATATAATTATGAGTGAAGTCTTAGAAGTGGAGGAGGATGGTCAATTTTGGGGAACCCATAGGAAGTTGCATCAGAAACTCTCCAATCACTCCTTAGTCTTTGTATAATATATATATTTTTTTCATTTCCTTTCCAGTTGTTATAATTTTGGTCAAAAAGTAGTTAAACATTTGTAAAATATAATTAACAAAATTAACATGYGCCCAAATTAAAAAGTTAATTTTTTTTTCTTATATAAATCCCACTGCATCTCTCACCTCATTCCTCAAACTAGGACTGAGAAACTAGAGAGAGAAAGTAAAGTCTAGAGAGAGAGATTTCAAATTTTTTTGCTGACACAACAGAAAATGGCCGGAATTTTTAGCATCGGAATGTTGCCGGAGGACTGCGTTTCGGAGATTCTGTCGCTGACAACTCCGTCGGACGCCGGAAGATTGTCTGTCGTATCGGCGGCGTTCCGGTCGGCGGCGGAATCCGACGTCGTTTGGGGGAGATTCTTGCCCGATAACTACGCCCACATTCTCGCCGCYGCTGACATCTCCGGCGAGTCCCCATTTTGTTCGAAGAGAGAAATTTTCTTCTTATTCTGCTCTCCGCTCCTCCTCGACGGCGGTAAAAAGGTAATAATTTAAAATTAAATTAACTCCATAAAATTTTCCTCCTCCATTTAGAAAAATAAATTTGTTTTTTTTTTCAGTGATTGAATAATTAATAATATATAAATCTTGTGCAGAGCTTCCAATTGGAAAAATTTTCCGGGAAAATTTCTTACATTTTGTCTGCAAGAGAACTCTCCATAACAGGGAGCTCTGACCCTSTCTGCTGGAGCTGGAACAATCATTCTCAATCCAGGTATATATATTAAGTTGATAAAATAAATATATATTTTCACAAAGTTTGAAAAATGATAATATTTTTAAATATACATATTAGATTGAAAATTTTTTAAATGGTAAATTTCATCCCATTTTAAAATGGTAACTTTTTTTTTTTAACAAATATGTATAATGATCCCTCAAATTTTGGAATAATTCTTTAAAAAWTTTTCAGATTTGCAGAAGTGGCAGAGCTAAGAACAGTGAGCAGGCTGGAAATTAATGGAAAAATCGGAACCAAAACGCTGTCGTCGAACACGTTATACGGAGCTTATCTTCTGGTGAAGATCTCAGATTGGGCCTATGGACTGGACTTGGTTCCGGCCCAAGTTTGTGTACAAGTAGGGGATGGGGCCCAGGCCCAGGTTTCTGAGGGCAGCGTTTGGCTGCAGAGAAAAGACAAGAAAAAGGAGGATATGGAGTGTTTGTTTTATGGGAATCGGAGGGAAAGGGTGAGAAAATTGGTGGAAAATGGAGAGAAAATGGAGGAAAATGGATCAATYAGGGTTTTGAAAGAGAGGGAAGATGGGTGGCTGGAGATTGAATTGGGGGAATTTTTCAGCGGAGAAAATGGAACTGATGAAGAAGTGAAGATGAGTTTAATGGAGATCAAAGGATTTCAACTCAAAGCTGGACTTGTTCTTCAAGGTATTCAAATTAGGCCTAAACATTAGAAAGAAAGAAAAAAAAAGGTTGAGATTATGTAATTAGATTGATTCTTTCATTTGTTTTTCTTTTAAAGAATATTAAAATTTTGGAATTGAACATGTTCTTTCATTTATTTTTATGTTGATTAGATCGTGTAACGTGAAAGAATACAAGAAATATAAATAGTGAAAGAATACAAGAAATATAAATAGTGAAAGAATACAAGAAATATAAATAATGATATCTCGAGGTCGCGCAACTATAAAATATTCGATTTTAAGAAAGTCAAAAAATTTGAAGCGCCAAGGGAGAAGTGTTTGCAGAGATCCTAATGGAATAACATAATAATAACACTTACTTTATTATTGAATAAATAAAAAAGTCAAATATTTGAAATGTAATTAAGTGAATTAAGTTGACAACAAACTATATTATAATATATTTAGTTTCTTAAATTAAGTTTTAAAAATTATATTAAACAAACTTTTTACAATCTTTAATCTCATAATCCAAACACCACGATTATATTACATACAAATTCAGGTTCTCCAATCCAAGGTTTATCGTAATAAGACCGCCATTTTGTGAACTTTCATATTAGAAAATGTATAACATTTAAAGAAAAAATGAATTATCATCCGTTCATAATTTCTAAAGGAGAAATAGGGGGAAATAGAATTTTTTTTTTTTTAGTTTTCTTTTTTAATTGGTGTGGGATGCTTTTGAGAGATTTTCTAGCTAATATAAAATTGACATTTGTTGACGCCTAAAAAATGTCATCAATCACTATAATTGACGTTTTTTACCTATCAAATGTGGTGGTCTCATCTTTCTAAAATYGTTAGTTTTACGCGATTAAAATTAAATTTGTCAAAGACGTAGTTCCTCGTTTATTTGTTTGTTTTAATTCATCAACTTTGAACTATGTAACGTTATATAGAAGATAGAACATAATTAACTGAAGTGTCCTCGTTTATTTGTTTGTTTTAATTCATCAACTTTGAACTATGTAACGTTATATAGAAGATAGAACATAATTAACTGAAGTGTAAAATAATTGAACTACGTTCACCCATCTCGATTGATTTATCATAAATTTATTCTTTTCCTAGGAAATCATTTTACATTTTAATTATGTAATAAATATTATATTGTGTAATTTAGATCTAACTTTTAACTCTAATGATTTAAGTAAACAAGTTAGTTTTGGATTTGGATCTTTGGGAGCCGTTCATTATTGTTCTKGTTTCTCGTTTCCAATTTTTTTTAAAAACCTAAATATTTGACAACTAAARACCYGTTTATAATGTTCACATTTCTTATTTTTGTTTCCTCCTTTTATTAAAAGAAAAATAAAATTACATAACTCCAACTGCATAGAAACAAAATTTGTTTTCATTATTTCAAAAGTTTCTATAGAATTTTGAAAATGTTTCTAAAATAATGRAAAATAAGAAATATAAATAATTTTTAAATATTTAGATTTTTCAAAAAAATTAGAAACGATAAATAAAAAAACGGAAACTTTACCAAAGATATTAGTTTATCCAGATCATCTGGACATTCGAGTGTTTGATTTGAATTCTACCACTTTTGGGATTTACAACCAAATTTTRAACTAAACCCACTTCCACGAAGCATTCGTTTTAATCTCATTATAAAAATGATATTTTTGGTTTATGGGTGATTTGATCATTCCACCACATTCACCTATAAAAGAAAGTGTGACACGTGCAAATTTGATAATAATTACATTTTTCAAAAAAAGAAAAGTTCGGTTGCTAAGTTTAACAATGGTACGATGAGTCTGTAAAAAAAAATCATAAGATGAGCCAAAATGTTCAATGATAGTTGACATATATCTCTAGAGGTTGTGAGTTCGATCCCTCATCTACACATGATGTACTAAAAAAAGGAAAAACAATTGTAATGTGAGACCAACATGAATACAGCTTATGATAAGATAGAGAAGTTTAAGAAAATAATACTTTGTCTGAAAAAAAGAAATAGAGATATATCAATTTAAAGTAAATATAGAATAACCATGTAAATAAATATTTACACATGTAGAAATTATATATTCATTAATTTCATGAATGAGAGGGTTGCACAATGAAATTAATATAATATATTACAATTCACTAAAAGCAAGAATACTTTTACTATATATATTACAATTCACTGAAAGCACGTAAGAATACTTTTACAAATCATTTTTCTTATGAACCATTCGAGTTATGTTTATGTTGGTTTGAATAAGATTTCTATACCCAATCTCTTTTATTTTTCATTATTAATCCAACACAATTTCATCTCTCGTTAAGATTACCAAGTTATTGATAATTGGTGTTATATATTCAAAAGGAGAAGATATTTGATTGCCTCAAGATCCTAAAGGTATGCTCACAACACTCTACACTTTATACTCAACTACTTKGATTCTGACTTAAGCATCGGAGCCTGTGTAGCAAGAGCCACACCGGTCTTTAATGCTATTCTGTTTTGCATGTCTCGTCGATCCCTTTTATTATAGAAGATTGGTGCAAATTTGGCGGGAATTCCAAGTAGGCCAAATTTCTGCATCAACAATTGGAGCCGTCTGTGAGGACGACTAAGATCTAAAAGCCAACAATATGAACTCTGGAGAGATCAACGATGTTCTGACTACGATTGTCATTCGAGAAGAGGGATGAACTAAGGAAATTCCGAAGGAGATAAGCCCACGAGTTTCAAGACAGGGAGAACAACATGTCCAGAACCCTAATCAGATCAACGAGGATGGACGGTAAGGTCTTCATGGTGAAGTGAGAACATGTCATGTCAGTAGCTCAACATCTCCAGTAGGTGACCACTTAACCACCAGAAGGATGTGAATAGATCACGCCATGAGATTAGATCACGCAACCAATTTGATACCCTCGACAGATAACGACACAATCGACCGCGATGAAAAGGCCAACTCGAGCCCTGGTCATCACATGGAATCCATCCGAGATGGGGAAAAACGTGCTGAAGATTTAGAATCGATCCCTTTAACATCCGAAGAGCAACGAATTAACCGAGAACTGCTCGGATCCGAGGAGATCTAGGGATAAACAAATCGACATGGATTCTAAAGGCTCCCATTTTCTGAGATAGACGAGGAAAAAGCAAATAAACAAGTTCTGGGGCAGGAACCAGAGCGAACGAATCAACAAATTCCAGGACAAATCCTAGGTAAAATAAGTCAACCCATAAGAAGAATAAAAACTGCTCAAACCCGATGAGGACTAGGGCAAAACAAGTCTACGAGTTCTAGGGCAGGACCTAGAGCAAGCAAATCAACAAGTTCAAAGACAGATTCTGGATGAGGTAAATCGACAGATTCCAAAATAGGTTCTGGGAGAAACGATCAACAAATTCCAGAATGGAGGAAGCAACTTGATCAAGTCTAAGGCATCCAAAAGACAAACTAACTGCTATGAAAACTCAAGGGAAAGTATAAAAAACACAACCCTCATTTTGAAAAACTCGAACAACAAATTGCAACCTACACCCGTCCAAGGTCCACGGAAGGACAAAGCTACTACAAATACCTGACAAGCAAACTACATAACTGGTCATGACCAGACCCTAGGGTATGACCAGATCCAAGGCATGACCAGATCCAGAGTATGACTAGGTCTCTACTGATCAGATGTCTTCTGCCGACTAGGTCTCTACTGTCGACCAAGTGTCTTCCACCGACCAGGCTTATTTTGTCGATCAGACCTATTCTGCCGACYAGGTCTATTCCGCCGACCAGATCCGATAACTGCATGACAGCAAAAGTCAGCAACACATAGCAGCATGAGCTACTTGGAAAGCCGACCTGGTCTCCAAAAATTGTGCTTGGTAATGAGAAGTCACTTAGTCGACACGAGCAGATAGAAGAAAGCGACATAAGAGAAAACGACAAGGCTTGAAGTACTTGAGAAAGTTTTCATTTGATACCTTAAACAAAACCTCCTCAAGTGGGGGCCAGGTGAGTAACAACGGTCAAGGAACTCGAATGGGACAGACCTAGAAGCAGGCCGATAAGCTAGAAGCCAGTCAGTGAAACTGGGGAAAAGAATTCCAAAGGTGCTGAAAAAGGCATGCGTACAGGCCTAGCAAGGTTGAAACGTAAAGCAGGCAAGTCAAACCAATCAAGGAAACCCAAGGTATAAAGTCATTTGGCAAAAGCCAAAATAGGTTAGCAACCCAAGGGTGTTGATTAAACTCAGGGTAAAAAACTGGCAGAAACCAAATAGGTTAGAAACCTAAGAGTAAACCTTAGTTATAAAACTATGAGCAAAAGCCAAATAGGTTAGAAACCCAAGGGTGGTACCGCTAAAAGTTAGATCCCAAGGCTAAAATCTAATGGTTAAAACTAACTGTATAGTAGAGTCGATGAGACTTGATTGCAGCCAACTATGTAGAAATAGTATGGAGCTAGGAAGACCAGCCCATGAAACGACAACCGACAACGACATGAAGGTATTGACTGGACTCAGGGTATAAAACAATTGGCAAAAGCCAAATAGGTTGGAARTCCAAGAGTAAAACCTAGAGTATAAAACCATGGGCAAAACCCAAACAGTTTAGAAACTTAAAGGTGGTACGGCTAGCCCAAAAGTTAGATCCCAACGCCAAAATCTAACGGTTAAAACTAACCGTATAGTAGAGCCCAAGAGACTTGATTACAGCCAACTACAAAAAAAAAATAGGGCTAGGAAAAGCCAACTCATAAAGACGACGACCAACAACGACCAAAAAGAGGGCTATTCCACAAAAATAGTAAACCTATAAACACAAAATACTCTCAAAGTAGAAGTCTGACAATCTTCAACTTTGAGAGTGGGGGCTATTGTTATATATTCAAAAGGAGAAGATATCCTGCCTCAAGATTCAACCARATTTCAGATTTCCTAGATGTATCAGAATTCGAATTCCACAATCTTTCGAGGGATCAAGATTCAACTCCTATAAATAGGGAAATAAGCCAAACCCTATGCTCATAACACTCTACACTTTATACTCAACTACTTCAATTCTGAATTAAGCATTGGAGCCTGTGTGGCAAGAGCCRCACCGATCTTTAATGCTATTTTGTTTTGCAAGTCTTGTCGATCCCTTTTATTATAGAAGATTGGTGCGAATTTGGCAGAATCTCAAGTAGGCCAAATTTCTGCATCAACAATTGGTATATCGAAAAAGAAAATGAAAGAATTGGGGTTTTGCCTTAAGACTTCAAAATGACATTTTAAAAAAGGAAAAAAAATGGAAAAAGTTATAATTGAACAAACATTTTTCTAACCTGAAGAAACAAAAATTAAATTAAAATTGACAAAGAAAAAAACTTCTATTTTGGAGAGATCGAAATCTTTGAATTATTAAAAAAAAATATATTGTTATTGCATGAAAAGAGCGTTCTGACGTGATTGAGTAATCTAGAAAAAAGAAAAATCACGCTACGATGTTCAAGTTAGTAATTTTCAAGGTTACCTCTGGACAATCTATCAATAACGTGCATACTTGAATATGAGATTTGTCCTCTATTTATACTAGCGATAAGTGATCACGCCCACCTGAGATTATTAGACACTTTTTACAAGAATCTTAGCTCATCATAGGATGATTTTAGAAGTATCGATAAGGCCTCACGAAAATTCACTTTAAATCTCGTAAACTTTGTAGAGAATAAATTTGTTCTCTTATAAAACTCAAGAATATACAAAAGAAGAGTATTGTCCACTTTTCTTTCTGGATTGAATTGCTTCAATTTTCTTGGTTACAAAGGAGAGAAATAATGCTTTTGTATAATACCCAAGAGACACCTAAAAAAACACAAATGTAAATATAGATACATATTTACATACCATTCATGTAGCTCACACATTAATTTACACATACGTAACAATTCATTTATCTAGAAATTTGTGTATATAAATCTTGAGAATCGATCTAACTTAAATTCTAACAGACGGTTCGTAAGAATTATCACTTCACTGTGTTTTACGTAACATCGATTAAGGTCTAAAGTATATTACCTCGTCCTTCTCTTTTCAACATCTTCACTCTTGTTATGTTGGTGGTTTTCTATTGTCCCTAACATACTTCTTTCTAAAAAAAGAAATTTGAATTATTGATTTTTCAAATAATTATGAGCGAGTTGTTGGAGGAGGATGGTCGATTTTGCTCTCCGGTCCTCCTCGACGGCGGTAAAAAGGTAATAATTAATTAAATTAACTCCATAAATTTGCCCTCCTCCATTTAAGAAAAAAATAAATAAATTATATATAAATCTTGTGCAGAGCTTCGAGTTGGAAAAATATTCGGGGAAAATTTCTTACATTTTGTCTGCAAGAGAACTCTCCATAACAGGAAGTTCTGACCCACTCTGCTGGAGTGGAACAATCATTCTCAATCCAGGTATATATTATGCTTTCTGAGTATTTTCAGATTCAGAATTTTAAAATTTTAAAATGCAGAATTATATTAAAAATAATAAAAATTTTGATAAATATATTACTTCATATTATAAATCATTCTATGTTCGTTAAAATTAAAACATGTAAAATATAATATATTTTAAATTATATAACCTTCTAGAACAATAATTATACAAGATTTATAAAAAAATGTTAATAAATTAATTAATATAAGTTTAGATTAAACTAAAATTTAGTCGGTAATAAACCACTAAACATATTTTTTAAATTGAAATTTAATTATCAAATCYGTCGCCAAATAAAATATTGAAATTGATTTTCATTGAATTCCTTATTTTCAAATTTTTGTTTTYGTTACCAACCCATGTTTAGTTTCTCTCATATTTGAGTGTTGGATTTGAATTCAACCACTTTGGGAATTTAACCAAATTTTGAACCAAACCCACTTTCACAAAGAAAATTGTTGATCTCATTATAAAAGTGAATTTTTTGGTTTATGGGTGATTTGAGCTTTGCACCGCATTCACCTATAAAAGAAAGTGTAACATATGCACATTTGATAATAATTACATTTTTCAAAAGATTTTTTTTTTTACTATAATTTGAGTTCAACTATGGTAAGCTGGGAAATTTAACCATAGAAGATAATAAATGTATTATACATACTAACCGTGTTTATAATTTTTTTAATTAATACTTAAGTTAAAATATTATTTTAGTACATTTATTTTCAAAGTGAATAAAAACTAGAAATAGAGACCAAAATATTATCTAAACCTTACTCTTTTATTCAGTAAGTTCAATATATATATAGAATATTACCTAAAGGGTGCATTCTCATTACATTTGATTCACTAAGTTCAAAAAATATATATATTATATATATATCACAAAATCCACTATATATTTTCAACGAAAATCACTTACAAAAACCAATAGACAAATCCAATCCTTAAAAAATCAATTCATGAGAGAAATAGGGAACAAATTAAAAAAAATCCCCTTATTATCTTTTTCAGAGTCCCATCAATTTGATACTAAAACTCTCCATATAATTTACACGAAGTATTTAGATATATTTTTTAACAAAAATAAAATGGTGAAATTTCAACTTATATAGGTTGAAAGTCTAATTTTATGAAATTGAAAGTTAGATATGTCAGACGGGTAAAAATTATCGAAAAATTTACTGGAGTCGGATTTCCAAGGGTAATTTTTTCTCTATTGCCAATTTTCTTTTTAGAACATGAGGGGAAAGTAAAAATAACATTTACAGTTGCACTTGGGGAGGAAAAAAGGAAAAGAAAGGGGGAAAAAACGAGGCTAAATGGAGGAATTTAGAGGTAAATTTTTTTTTCTCTACGTATGTATGTATTTATTTAATATATATAAATATAAATATCTATGTATGTATTTATTTCTTTATCGAGCCTAACTTGAACCTATTTGAAAATTAATATAAATAATAAATTAATTGAGAAAAACCCTTTTCAACAAATTTAAAATAAAAAAAGAGTAAATAGTAAAAAAATTTAAAAACAAACCCAAGCACAATTACACAAACAGCCCCTCAATTTTCATAAATTAGAATTTGGCGCTTTATCTCATCAAATTCTCTTTTATCTGAAAAATGGACAGTACTGACTGAGTCATCGTCTCCAAATTTCTCACGATCACTCTCCCACTGAGCTTCTCATCGCAATCTCCATCAATGGCTGAAATTTCCAGTCTCAAACCCGCCATTTCCATGCCCCGCTCGCTTCCTACGTCTTTCACCGCGCCTTCTTTGCCGAATTCCATCATTACTCATGAAGCTTTCCTCTCTCCGAACTCGCTTCCGATGAGAATTAAGCTTAATCGCATCCCGATATCGTCATTGTCTAGAAGGTTGTTCGTTCCTTCAGTCTCTGGAATCTGGGACGCCTTAACTGGGGGAAACAACCCCCGCGACGCTGTTGCTGCAATTCGGCGCGGAATGCTTCTCTTCAGGCAGGTTTGTTCTAATCAACTCGCGTAAAATTGCTTCGATTAGAATCGAGTATCGGGTTGAATTCGTGGAGTTTTTGTTGTTTTTAGGGCGATGTTTCGGGATCTTTGGCAGAATTTGATAAGGCAATTGAGTTGGATCCTCGTCAAAAGGCATGTAGGTTCCTGCAATTTTACTATGATGTTAGTCATATGGTTCGATTATTAAAATTGATTTCTTGAGCTTAATTATCAGCCAGTTTGTTTATATCAAGTTCTGAATAATAAAAAAGTGACAACATTCAAATTTGTACAGAGATATCTTGCTTTAGAGTGCAAGTTATAGGAATTAGAATAAGTGATTTATTTTTAATTCTTAGCAGTGTATATGCGTTACTTTGTTTAATCAACTCAGATTTGGTATGTTTGTTATCAGATCTTTGGCAAAGAGGGCTTTCACTGTACTACCTTGATAGGTACCAATCTGCTCCATTTCTGCTAAATTTATGATAGGAGGAAATCCAGAAGAGAAGAAGAAACGAATTTGACTAATCATCATCTCGAAATCGTTAAAGTTGAGAATCACAGTAGAATCTGCTAAGTTCATCATTAGCATGAATAAAGTTTGTCAGGTAAATTAAGATTGAGATTTTGAATAGTTGTAGTAGGAATCTCTTTTTAGATTTGAAGAGGGAGCTGAGCAGTTCCGACTAGATGTTGCCCAGAATCCAAATGACACAGAGGAGTCTATATGGTGCTTTCTTTGTGAAGCTCAATTATATGGAGTTGATGAATCAAGAAGGCGGTTTCTTGAGGTAAGTTAAAATTTGAATAACTTTCATGAAAAGTTGACGAAGTATTTATGGGAATGATTAAAGCAGGAATGAAATATTACCATGTGATTTACAAAGTGAATCAAATACATGGAAGTGTGCTAGGAGGAAAATACTCGAGAATATTATAACAGCACTTGAGTGAGTTTGAGATGATTTTTGAGGGTTTGTGTTTTTAAGCAAAACACTTTTGGATGAAGCATAATTAAGTGCTTTCTCCAATTTTAGAATCTTCAAAATTAGTCTTGGCTATATTATCAAATACCATGAAAATTTAAAAATGTGCTTTTAGTCTGCTAAAAATACTTTTCACCATCTTGATAGCACACTCATCGTTAGGTTCAAATCCCATGATGGCCACCTACCTTATGAATTAATTCCTACGTGTTTCTCAGTATCAAATGTTGTAGGGTCAGACAGCTGTCCCCTGAAATTAGTTGAGGTACGCATAAGTTGGCCTGGACACTCACGGACATCAAAAAATTATATATATATGTCATCCTTAATCATGTTTGGAATTTATATTGTTCAGCATGTTTAATTTACTGTTTCAAATAATGCAATTTAATCCTATATTTTAGTATTCCTAATCTATTACGTCCGGTGGTTATGGATAATGCAACGTGAATGTTCTTACAACTAATATATGAATGCAGGTAGGTAGAGATTCACGACCAGTCATGCGGGAAGCTTACGACATGTTTAAAGATGGTGGTCATCCAGAGAAAGTATGGAACCTCTCTTTATTTTCCTCTTATCTTCAATTCTCCTTTTCAGTCATTTTGTCATTACAAGTTTAATTGGGCTTCTTACTTTCTCAACATTTGTATGTAGATTTTCAATGCCATTGCTGAATTAACCATCTCTAAATTACCTTTTCAGTGAACTATTTTGCTGCGTGTGTTGTTTATTTTCCTAAAATATGATCTGACTGAAGAGTTGTTTTTTACTTCATAGCTTGTTGCTGCCTTCTCAAGTGGCCGTGAGAATGAATATTTTTATGCTTCTCTATATGCTGGGCTCTATCACGAATCAGAGGTTTGGTTATAAGACTTGAAACTTTTTGCTTATTTGCTAATCTATCCCTGCAAACTATTATTTTGTAATCTGTGTGAAAAATAAAATAATAGCCTGAAGCAATATTCTTGTCCTTTTTTCTGGCACACATCATCTTGCAATCGAATCAAAATCATATTAGTTTCTTTTAACTGTGTTATGCTCATGGCTTATCCCACTAATCTCTAGGGAGATTTCGCCCCCGAAAACCAGCTTCACAAGGATTTAAGTCATTAAATTATCAACTTAGAAATCTGGAAGATATCTTCAAGCATCCCAAGTCCCTGCACTAGGTACTTTCAAGATGATCAAAACTATATTTGCTGAAGTTCATCTTAGAAACCGCCATAACTGAAATTTTAATCAAATAAAAGTACTTCTTTTGGACGAGCCTGATGACACAAAAATAATCCAATCAGGAAAACACACTCTTCAATTTCAATCCCTATGATTTTTATTGATAAATCAAACTGTGTTCCATGAGGAAATGAGATGACATAGACATGAAACGTTGCAATATTTCCTCTGTAGAACAACAAGAAATGTGATTTCCTGGCATTACTTTTTCCTCTTTTACAGAAAGATCTGGATGCAGCCAAACAACATATAGTTGCAGCCTGCCAGTCTCCTTATGGACAAAGGTTTGAATCCATCAAAACATAAACTCCAAAGGAATCCATGATTCTGTATAATAAGTTCAATTAAAAGGCAATGCCTCCCTTTTCAGGTCTGATGATTACATGGCTGCTCTCGCCAAAGTTCACTGCCTCTGTCGAAACTGGAGTTTTAGTTGAAGAACTCTCAGTCAGTTGTTTAAACACCATATTCTATAAATTTGCTCCTTTTCTTTCCCCTTTTGGGTAAATTCTATATGTTAGACCTTGGATTTTCAGCATCGAGGAGGAGAAGGATCAAACTTGAATGAATCTCGGGTCAACTCGATCATGAAAATCTGTAAGATTGTAAATCTTAGATAGACGATCACCATAGTTTGAACTTATTACCTCCACAACTTATTTATATTTTTATTGGTTCAATAATTACTGAGCTAACTCATCGTGGTTTTAACCAACATTTGTTGTGGTAAAAGATTTGTTTTGAGCCGATCGAATGAAGGATCCTACTTAAAAAAATTTGATCGGATTATTGTATCTTTTGTCATCGTGTTATATATATATATACTTTTTTTGGTCCCGCTTTCAATGATGATTTATTTTTGTCCTAATTTTAAAAGGTTTATTATGATTCTCATACATTTATCTTTGGTTCATTTTAATCCCTACAGGTTTGGTCTTTGTTTTTTTAAGAATGGACTATTTTGACATCCACTTGTAAAATATTAACACAAACTCAATACACAATCACAATGAAAACCCTTTTACATTAAAAAAAAACTCTTTTAATATAAAATTATGGCTACATTTGAAAAAATATGTTGAGTATAATGTCATGTCGAAATTGTGACCCGAAAAAAATTAGATAAAACATAAAATAAATAGACAAAAACGATCTCTTTTTATAAGTGTATGGACTAAAACTAATACCTCGACGATGCTAAGACTACAATAAATAAGAGTTGAAAATACTAGTATAATAATGAAAATCAATAAGAACTAAAATCAACTCGGTTAAAAATTGTATAGGGACAAAAATAATATTTTAATACAAAATATATTTCTCCAGGCCATTAATCATTATGACGATGAAGATAATTCGAAAGCAAATACACATCCATTTATCAAAGTGAATCTTTTTCCATCTCACGTGGTGTACTAAAAAAATTATATAAATAAAATAACATCCATTTGGCATATTCTTGGTAGGCAGCACAAAAAGGTGGATATTCTTTGATTTATTCCCCATCCCATGACATGGCATTTCCTACCACTAACAACTTCTTGCTACTAGTCTACCTAAAGTTACCATTTTGCCCTCCACCAGTCTCCATTTGCAACCAAATTCCTACTTTTGCTAAAGACTCTTGGTCGTTTTTTTCCCTTTTTTCTTTTAATTTTATTTATTTAAAATAAGGTTTAAATACTGCTTATGTTTGACTTTTTGTTGATTTTTAGAACCAGTACTTTCAAAATAATTCTTTTAATTTTCATGCTTTCGCTTTTGTTGATTTTAATTATTATAATTTTAGAATATTTATTTTGGTCGTTGGACTTTAAAAAGGTAACTATTTCGGTCCATTAATTTGTATTTTTATCTCATTTATTTCAATTAAAATTTTAGCACAATCTCCTCACTAAATTTTTTTTAAATATAATTATAAATTTGTATTTAAGAGTTTCATTATGTATAAATTTTGAGTTTACATTTTGCAAATAGAAACAAAAATATCTCTTGTTAAGATTACAAGGACTCAAAATTAATGTTGCAAAATATACGAATTAAAATAAACAAAAGTTAGAAGTACCACAGTCAAAATTGATATTTTGAGAATTTGACCAAAATAAAAGGGGTAGTTTGGTCATTAAGTATGTTAGCATAGAAATATTAAATGCCTTGGACGCCACCAAAACGTAATAAATAACTAACTTCTGCTGGTCTTTATATTTCTTCAAGTAATGCCAGAAAAAAAAAATTGTACGAACTGGAACTGCTAATTCTTCATTTGGTTTGTTACACGATTTCACTTCCTGAAACGTTGTTCTTCATGAATCCTCTGTAATCGCGCGAGTACGTTGAACATTTGTTATGTCGACGGAGAGATTGATCCCCAATGGTACGGCTCCGTCGGAGGCGGCTGAGCCGCCGAGGCTTGTTGCAGCGTCGCATTCGTTCCGGCAGTGTGGGGAGCCGGCTAGGGTTTTTGAGGAGCTTCCGGTTGCTTCTATTGTATCGGTTTCTCGGCCGGATACTGGAGATATTAGTCCCTTGCTGTTATCTTACACCATTCAAATCCAGTACAAACAGGCATGGAACTTCTCTCTGTTTCTCGCTCTATCTCTTCGCTGAGTTATTTGATTTTTCTTTACTGCGTTTCAATTTTATTGTGAAAATGTTGGGCGAAGAAGTGGAAATGGAGTTTGTTCGGTTTGATTGTTTGTTAAATGTGAAAATGTAATGCGTTCAGCAGATATGGAAGGAAAATTTAATGAGTGCCTGAATATGAGAAAGGGAAGAATCCCTTGAGAATTTTGAAATGACTGGTAGGCGTAGAGTAATAATCTAATATTTTATCGACCTATTTTCATGGTGTGTCTATTTATTTGGGTGAAATTATAAATTTAATCAGTGAGTTTTTGTACTTTAGAAAATTTCTAATGAGTCCCTATAGTTCTTTTTAATCTTTTCTATCTAGTTCCTGCATTTCTTTTTTTTTTTTTTGACAAGTCTATTAGGAAAAATCAACATACTTCTAATGTCGAATCAATATCAACTAGGACAAAAATAAAGCAGTGCTTCAACGTAATAGCTATTAATAGTCATTGACTCCTAGGAAAGAGTAAGAATGAAACCTATTATAGGATATTGTATGATGATTATGCTTCAACCGGGTTATTATATTCCACATCTTAGAAAGAAAAGAACTTAAATCAAAATACTTAATAGCACGGCACTACATACAAAATTTCTACCCCGAGCATACGTGTTTAAATTTTAAGTCTCTATTGTTATCGCCTATCGGTTAGATGACATGTTAACTATATTATTTAAAATTTATGTCTGAAAGGAGCTCATAATGATCCTTGAATAATAAATAGTTTGTGTGCTATGTAAATGTTAAACGAGTTACCTACTATGACTTATTATACATAAAAAGTAACCTATAAAAAAGCTTTTTAAAGTAAGGGGGCTAAATAGAGACAGTCTTGAACCGAACTTATGGTTTTGACCATTTATTTATTATCTTCTTTATCCCCTCCGAATAGAAAATGTTGTTATATTGTGTAAATAGATACTGACATTAAGTTCACTATTAACAGTTTAAATGGAACTTAGTGAAGAAAGCATCGCAAGTTATTTATTTACATTTTGCATTGAAGAGACGCACATTTATTGAAGAACTTCACGAGAAACAAGAGCAGGTAAACCTCTTCTATAACGTTTTACAAGGCTTCTATACTTGTATATAATTCTCCTACGTTTGGAGACTACATTATAATGTAGTAAGTTTATTTGTTTAGTTTCACTGTTTAAAAATACTTTTGAAGTCTTATTTAAATTTAAAGAACAAAAAATAAATCTTTTAAAACTACCTTCTTTAGTTTCTAGAATTTGAATGGTATTTTATCTATGATTTAGACGCAGATTACAAATTGAAGAAAATTCTTAGTAAACAAGTGTGTGATTTTCTAAAATAGAAAATCAAAAACAAAAATGTTACAAACAGGCCCTTTAATGTCAACATGTGTGGATCCTCTTTAGTTTTGTTCATCACAACTTTTGTTTTGACTGGTCCTCCCACTTCTATGTGGAAGGTGAAAGAATGGCTTCAAAACTTAGGAATATTTGACCACACAGCAGTAGTTCATAATGATGATGAATCTGATGTTGCAGCTGATGAACAAACTACAAGAAACAGGTAACTAACATACATTATGCTTTATACCAAATAAACCATTTCATTTTATGATTGATATTGTGGTTTTTGTTCCATCTTTTGGGGTGTATGAACTGAGTAGAAGGGAGCTATTGATGCTTTTGAAGATTTTTCCTTTTCTAAAAATGTACAGGAATGTTCCTTCTGTTGCTGCTTTACCTATCATTAAGCCAGCACTGGGAGGACAGCGGTCCATTTCAGACAAGGCAAAGCTAGCAATGCAGGGTTACTTAAATCACTTTTTAGGGAACTTGGATATTGTAAACTCTCGTGAGGTGAGTATGTGAAATTTTCTTGAAACATCTACTTCTAGAAGAAAGGACCATAAATTTCAATAGAAGGAAATTAATAGCAACTTGTCTCATTTATTTTTGGTGTATTTTGATATCAATAAATCTGAATTATTAGAAGGTTAAATTACAAGTTTAGTCCTTGAACTTTAAAGTTTGTGTCTAATAGGTACTTGAACTTAAAAATGTGTCTAATAGATCCTTAAACCTTCAATTTTGTGTCTAGTAAACCTCTTAACTTTAAAAATATATAATAGGTCCTTGAACTTTCATTTTTATCTAATAAGACCCTAACGAGTAAATGTTGTGTCTATTTGATCTGTGAATCTTAAAAAAGTATCTAATAGGTGAAGGACCTATTAGATACAAAATCGAAAGCTTGGGAATATATTAGACACAATCCTAAAAGTTTAGGTACTAAATTTGTAATTTAACCATTAGTATTAGACACGAAAACCTCTTGTCCTTYTGATTATCTAAGAAAATGTGTAAGTGGTTGTTTGAAAATTTCTGATTCCAATTCTTTCACATTGCACCATACCTTCTCAGCTTCTCTAAATAAGTTATCTCGGAAAGCAGGTCTGCAAGTTTTTAGAAGTCTCCAAGATGTCATTTGTAAGAGAATATGGTCCAAAGTTGAAAGAAGGTTACCTAATGGTGAAGCATTTAAAACAACTCACAGGATCTGATTCTAGTATAAAATGTTGTGCATGTCATTGGTGCAGCTGCTGTGATTACAATTGGAAAAAGGTTTGTTTACTAAACTCCTATGCTTTTGATCAAATTTAAATTTTTCTATGATGAGTTAATTCATATTACTTTTGAATGTTGATTACTTTAGAAGAAGGTTATATAGTGTCAATCATGAATTGCATTTATCTCCATCAATCTTTGGTTTTTTTTTTGACAAACCCTGATGACAAACAGGTTTGGGCTGTTTTGAAACCAGGTTTCTTGGCCTTGGTTGCTCATCCTCTAGACACTAAACTCCTAGATATAGTTGTTTTTGATGTTCTACCATCATTAGAAGAAAAGGAGGAATCCCAAGCATACTTAGCATCTCATATCAAGGAGCGCAATCCTTTACGTTATTCATTTAAGGTTTGATTTCTTTTTTCTTTTTCCTTTTCTTATTTTCAATTTCAAGATTTGCAGTAATTCAATCCTTTGTTATAGTTACTCCATCCAGCTCTCTGTAATTTCTTTACACAACGTGTTTGTAACCACCACAATTTTCTGCAAGATGGTTGAATTGAAATTATTTTCAATTGAGATTATGAAAGTTGAACTTGTGTAATTCTGGTTAATGAATTCAGACTGTTATGAAAAGGTTAGATGCGGAAATGGAAACATGAAGTTCAGAACCACAAGTTCTGCTAAAGTTAGAGAATGGGTATCATCAATCAATGATGCTGGTTTCGGACCTCAAGATGGCTGGTGCCACCCTCATCGCTTTGGTTCTTTTGCTCCTCAGAGAGGTTTGAGTGATGATGAAAGCCAAGCTCAGTGGTTCATAGATGGTGGGGCAGCTTTTGAAGCAATCGCTTGCTCTATTGAGGCTGCAAAATCAGAGGTTCTATAGTCCACATGAAGAGTGAAACAATATGCTTGTCACAACATGCTTGTCAAATCTCACTGTCAACTTAAGTGGTCTAACATTCTTTGCAGATATTCATCACTGGTTGGTGGCTTTGCCCCGAGCTTTATATGCGACGTCCTTTTCAATATCATTATTCTTCACGGCTTGATGCATTACTGGAAACAAAGGCAAAAGAAGGTGTCAAGGTGTTTAAACAGTTTTCAAGATCTGAGTGAAAGAAAATTTTGTTTCAAAACTTTGAACTTTTCATTTTTAGGCGTTAAACAGCTTAAAGCCTTAAACTTTCGATCATCTCTTATGAAGTTCTTGAAGTTGTATATATGCACATTACTCTAGCTGTTACTTGGTTTGACTTTGGATTTTTTTTTGGGTCTAAACAGCCTCCAATTTTGCCCCGAGTAGTTTTACCTATACGTATATTTTTTATATAATGCATTTTCTTGAACTCATCATTGATGTATTTTCACTTTGAAGCTAATGTTTTTTGCAGATTTACATCCTAATGTATAAGGAGGTTCCTATTGCTCTGAAAATTAACAGTATGTATAGTAAGAGGAGACTTCTAAATATTCATGAGAATATTAAGGTACTACGTTCTCCTGATCATATGTCAACTGGAATTTACTATTGGTGAGCATTTTTGTGGATTATGTTTCACTTGTCACTCTTAGCTTCTGTTTCAACTCTTTTGTCACCGGTTCCATTGCATAATGATAGGTCGCATCACGAAAAACTTGTCATTGTCGATCACCATATATGCTTCATTGGAGGTTTGGATTTATGCTTTGGCCGCTATGATACAATGGAGCATAAAGTGAGTGATTTCCCTCCTTATACATGGCCAGGAAAGGACTATTACAACCCAAGGTAGTTATATCATTCTTCATGAAAAAGATTAGAACTTGTTGCAGTTAATTTAGAATATCACCATTCTCTATTGCTGTGTTCTCAAACATGTATATGACTGCTTGAATAGTAGAGATCGCGTTCGATAACAATTTTATTTCTAGTTTTCTGTTTTTAGAAGTTTTGCTTGCTTCCTCAAAATTTTTATGGTATGTTGTTCACCACTCCTAAAAGCAAATTAGAATTCTTAGCCAAATTCCAAAAACAAAGACACATTCTTAAAAAGTACTTTTATTTAGATTTTAAAATTTTGCTTAAATTTTAATAGACAAAACCAAGGAACACATAAGTGAAAGTATTGTTTAAAAAATATAAAACCAAAAACAAAATGATTATCTAAGAGGGCTAGAGTTATTCGTAAACTTCCGATTATCCTTGCTTGTGTTAGAGAATCTGAACCAAATTCTTGGGAAGACACAATGAAAGATGAATTGGATCGAGAGAAGTATCCTCGAATGCCGTGGCATGATGTTCACTGTGCTCTTTGGGGATCGCCATGCCGTGATATTGCTCGACACTTTGTCCAAAGATGGAACCATGCTAAGGTAAATCTTGTAACATATACATGTGTTTTCAACCTTAATGTTTTCCTTTCTAACATGGCAAAGCATTATTCATTTCTAGAGAAACAAAGCCCCAAATGAAGAAAAAATACCTCTACTAATGCCACAACACCACATGGTCCTTCCACATTACATGGGAAGAAGCACAGAGTTGAGCTTTGAAAATAAAGACTCAGAACAAGATCATCAGAAGCAGACTACTGTAGATTTCTACTCCTCCTTATCTCCACAGCAAGATATTCCATTACTTCTGCCTCAGGAAGCTGGTGGACTTCCAGATTTAAACATTGAAACAAGTAGCCCTTCCATGAATCATCACTTTCTCAATAAGCCCGTGGAGATACAAAGACGTCTTATGGATTCTTTGACACAATATGCAGAAACATATGGATCGTTAGATGAATTTGGATTTTTGGATGAGTTTGGTGATTTGGGTCATCCAAGGGAAGCTGCTATTGATGCTCCAGCATACATGAAAACTTCAGACGACTGGTTGGAAACTGAACCCGAAAGCAATCATGTTGTTGCTGTTAACGATGTGAAAGAAATTGGTCCCATTACTACTAGCAATTGTCAGGTTAGTTATCTCTCTTGTCCCACCTTCACTCGTTCCACCCATTTATTTATAATCAATCCTTTTGCTAATAACGAATATATCCTTACTATCATACATAATAATATCCCTAACTTCTATCCAATAGCATTCATATCAGAATCTTATGTATGTAAGCATATGTCTGCTTGGTGGATCTATAGGTGATAAGAAGTGTCAGTCAGTGGTCAGCAGGAACAAGCAAACCAGAGGCAAGCATCCATGGCGCTTACTGTTTTGCTATTCAAGAGGCAAAACACTTCATCTACATTGAGGTAACAAGCTTAGCCACAAGAACTTTAGTTTTTTATGGAACACTATTTAGGAGGAAAATTTTATTCACTTACAGAATCATGCAACCCCACAACAATCCTAAAAGCTGATCTGCTAATGTAAAAACTAGGTCTTGAAAGGAAGGAACCTAGAATTTACAGTAGGACATTTACAAAAGAGAAGCATAGAACGATAAAAGAAGCAAAATATAGGCTGCATTTAATCACTGAACAGAATTAGCAAAATATAGAATTAGCAATAAAGTTTTAGAATGATGTGAAATTTTACTTCGAAAATGCCTATTTCTAACTTATCCAGGTAACAAAGACTGATAACTAACCATTCGTTTCTGTCAATGCGCCACTAAGTGAGATGAATATGTTTCTGTTTTACTTTCAGAACCAGTTTTTCATATCAGGTTTATCAGGGGATGAGACCATACAAAACCGGGTTCTGGAAGCACTGTACCAACGTATATTACTGGCTGATAAAGAACAACAATGTTTTAGAGTCATTGTGGTTTTACCACTCCTGCCTGGATTTCAGGTGCATAATTGTCTATTTCAGTTAACTTTTATAAATTTATATTTCTAGCTCTCTGTATTTAGCTTTTTCTTTATAATTGAATTGTATGGATTATATGCTGCTTGTTCCTTGTACATCTATCAGGGTGGTGTAGATGATAATGGTGCAGCAACTGTTCGAGCCTTGATGCATTGGCAGTATCGAACAATTAGTTGGGAAAAAACATCAATTTTGTATCGTCTTAATCTTTTACTCGGTCCAAAAACGCAGGATTATATTTTGTTTTGTGGTCTTAGATCATATGGCAGACTTTTCGATGGTGGTCCAATTGCCACAAGTCAGGTACTTATCTCTTCCTTCCAAAATGTGTGGATGGTTTATCTTAATTTATTTATTTTATACTTTTTACTATTAGTTTTTGCTTATCCTTTTGGATCCTAACTTTGGCTGTATAGAATGTTTAATCACATCAGATGAATTGTCATGAAATAATATATATCTCCCAAAAAATCTTTATTTGCTACAGATAAACTGCAACAGTTAAATAAAACGTGTTAATAATATCAAAGTTTAAGTTGTTCAAAAATATTATCATTTTGGCCTGACTGTCATTTTTCAGGTATATGTGCACAGCAAATTGATGATAATTGACGATTGTATAACCTTTATTGGTTCCTCCAATATTAATGACAGAAGTTTACTTGGATCCAGGGATTCTGAGGTATCATTCTAAGCTATTTAGAGCCTGTTAAAAATAGTTCAGTTGTTAACTGCTTTCATGTCCTATAAAACATCATTAAGTTTAAAATAAAATTCCTGAACTTATGATAGTCTTTCTTTCTTCTTCCTTTTTCTGGAAAAAAAAAAAACTCTTGAGTAAATAGCATTACTGACCATATGAAATATGGTGCTTCGTTGTGACTGTCGTGACTTGTGAAAGAAGAATAAGTTGTCTGTTTAGTTCTTTCATCTAATACGAGAATAAGGTGCATTATAAAGCAAGATAAAGTTCTCTCCCCTCCCAATGAGGAAGAAAAGTGCCTACAAATATTACTATTTGAAGAATGTAGCTTGTGTATGTACTCATTCTGTTCTAAATTAATACAGCAAAAAGTTTAATACCATTCCCATTGCAGATTGGGGTATTTATTGAGGATAAAGAGTTTGTTGATTCATCCATGAATGGAAAGCCTTGGAAGGCTGGAAAGTTTGCACATAGTCTTCGATGCTCCTTGTGGTGTGAGCACCTCGGTCTTCGACTTGAAGAGGTTGATCTAATTATATATAACAGCAGTTTTCTCAGAAACCTTCAATCATTAGAAATATTTTTCTTTTCCCATTACTCATTAGTTTGCAAATGCCATCATTAAACTAAACCTGTATGCCTTAATCACTTCAGGTCAGTCAAATCAGTGATCCTATAGCAGAAGCAACATACAAAGATATATGGTTAGCTACAGCAAAGGTACGAATGACGAGTAATTTGGTCACCATAGTTTTAAAGGTTTCAATGTAGTCCTTGTGGTCTGGACTTTGTTTTAATTTGGTCCCTATAGTTTAATCAAACTTCAAAAAATCATCCCCATTGTTGCCATGTTGACATTTTTTTAACGCGGCAATGAGTTGATGTTTTCTATTTGGTTTAATATGTTAATTGACTATATTAGAGTTTATGGCTAAGTAAAAACTCGAAGTGAATTTTTTGATTGGGTACAGCACAATTTAGGAACTACTCATGAGATTTAACTAAACTATGGAGTCCAAATTTAAATTGAACCTGTACCCCAAACTATAGGAACCATTTCACTGTCATCTATGGAATTTGGTGCACAAAGTCACTTTTGATCTAGGAAACACGAACACTCTGTTTTTATGTGTATCCTATTATTAGGCTACATAAAAACTTTGATTTCTCTCCAGTGTTATACGAACATTTTGAATGATGCATACTTTTCCTTAGAATGAAAAATGGCCTACTTGAGCATAACTCAATTGATTAAGGCATATATATTCGAACAAAAGGTTTGAGGTTCAAAGCCCCACTCGTTGTGTTGATCTCGAAGAAAAAGAAAGACTTGCATACTTGTATAATTACTGTTCATTCTCTCAAATACTTTCACTCTTACTGATCCTTGAAAATGTTCTACGAATTCAAAACAGGAAAACACAGCAATATATGAAGATGTCTTTTCTTGCATCCCCAATAACAACATAAACTCAAGGTAACTGAACGACTGCATACCGTTATAGTCTCTAACGTTTTTGGTACTTTTCTTCTTTACTCATGTCATAGTGTGCCAAATTCAGATCGTCTCTACGCCAAAGTTTGGCCGATTTGAGGGGAAAACATGGCCATAATACAATAGATTTAGGAATAGCTGCTGAGAAGATAGAAAGCCATGAAAATGGAGAAGTTAAGAAGATAGATCCAATGGAGAGGCTGAAATCTATTAGGGGACATCTGGTTTGTTTCCCATTGGAGTTCATGTGGGAAGAAGATCTCAGACCAGGGTTCATTGAGAGTGAGTTTTATGCTGCTCCTCAAGTTTTTCATTGAGTTATATATTCTTCATGCCCAATTATAGATGGAAATTGCACTAATTGATACACCATTAAATCTAGTTTACATTGTTCATTCTTTTGTCTAGAAATAAGATTGTATGTTCTGTAGATGTCCTGTCACATGAGTGTAAATATTTATGTATATAACAATCTTTTATTTTTCTTCTTTTGGGATTGAGTTTGTAGATGATATTTTGTAGCATATCCAAAATGATTTTGGGTATGCAATGAATTCCTTCATATTTATTCTACGGCGGGGGAAAATAAAACTTCCGTCGTAAAAACACTAAATAAAGACTTTATAAAGTAGAATTGAGAATGAAGTTTTTTTCATTTTTGTTCCGACCTGGACTAACACATTGTTTTTATTTGTTCGAGTAACAATTGAGATGAGAGAGGACAAACGAAAGAATCTCATTATGATAAACTTAAGAAGATTCATTATAAATTTTCTTAATATATAAATTATTAGTCATGTATGCATTTTTATCGTTCTTTTTTAATCACAAAATTATCAAATTTGTATACTTTATTTTATCTTTTTATTTATGTTTGATTTCCTTGAAACGATAACAGGTTTATAAATGGATATATCGAAGATTATGGAAAATTATGATGGTAGTAATCTATTTTGTGCTCTTTTTGTAAGTTTCAATTAAGAAATAGCTGTTCGTGAAAATAAACCAAGCCCATTTGAGTGGTTTACTGGGCTTCAATTTGGCAGGCGGGCCATGCAAATGCCCTTTAGGGCTCACCAACTTACAATTTTTTTGGCCCAAAGGCTAATAATCCAAAATAATTGAGATGGGTGTTTGTGTAATAATGTCAAAATTATGGATATTTTAATTCCAAATATCCTCTTCTATTTATGGTTTCAAAGGATTTATTTTTTTAGTTTTTTTTAATACGGATTTATTTTTTAAGTTGAATGCGAAGACTAATCCATGCTAATATATAATAGGCTGATTTTGCTGATTTTTCCTCAGAAAATTTGCTTTTCGAAGTCATAATTTGTCGTCTCGTCACTGACTCACTGTGTCGCTCGGTTTGGAGCTTGGGAGGTCGAACAAGGTAATTTGAGCGTGCTCTCTCTTTTGAATTTTGTGGCTCCACTTTTTTCTGAATTCGCTTCTGCAATTATGGCGCCTGACTTTCTGTTTTGCTTGCCGAGTAGACGTATAAAGAATCTGAATCCATTATTCCATTGTTTAAGATTGTGCTCTCGGTGGGATTCGCTTTTTTTTGTTTACTTTTTTCGCATTTCAATCCATTGTTGAATTCATGATTGATTACTAGAAATTGGTGTATTGTCCGTCTGGAATCCTTAGGGTTTCCGCATTCTGTTTGGTTGCTGAGAAACAGAAATAGGCGCTGTACTGTAGGCGTAGTCATTAATCTTTTGAAACATCCCTTTTTGCTAAATGTATGTGATGGCATCAAGTATTAATGGAATTACACTGTTAGGTTGCATGAGGAATCGTTTGCTAGTGGAACTTTACTGGATGTGGAATATATTTAAGGTTTTGGTTTTCAAAATGACATGAAATGGACCTGGAATTCTTCTATCTTTGGTAAAAAAGCAACTCATTATGTGTAGAGGAGTGGGGGGTCTTTTTTGTTGCTGGGAAGTGGGAAGTAGGATCCTCTTATGGCAGCTTGATTGAATGACTTTATGAATGTTTGTAGTAGGTATTCATAAATCATAATTCAATTTAGAGACATGGGCTGGATTCACAAGCATTGTGTTAAGATCTGAAACTGTGTAACATGGCAACATGTGACATTTTAGAGTAAAAAATAATGGGTGAAGGACGATTCCCTAACATGGGAATTGGGAGGACAACTTTAATAGTTACCCTATCATTTTATCTTCATTATGAAGAATGTTTTGATTATTTACTCAGATTTACATATCTTTCATATAGGATTTGACCTGCAGTAGAAATCAGAGTGCTTTTTGTGAGAAAGAGGATTTTACTGGATGGCATCGTCTGCAATAAAATCAGGGGCATTAGTTCCATTAAAAGATCTGAAGCCATCTTCTGAGTTCTTCAAGGATGGAGCCTCACTTAGAGTTACTGGAAAGTAAAATTTACCTATATGGAAAACCTCCTTATGCTTTCTACCACTTTTTTCATGGGCCCAAAATTTGGGCTTAAACTTGATAATGAATTGGACTTGATTAATGCATTTGTTCTCCTGTTAGGTTTTGCTATAGTTTGTCTTGAATTTCTGTCTGTTTAAAATTTGGGCAGCCTTTGATTTCCTTAGCAATGAAATGATCCAGTTACATTTTCTCCTTAGGATAGGATGTTCACTATTTTCTTAAAACTAAAAACCACCAATAAACTATTTAACTGCAGCCTATTAATAATTTCCTTGCAGATAAATTTATAATACAAAAAAAAAAAACCGTAAAATTGGATTTGATATGTATCCGATTTGATCTAAAGTAATGACCCACTATGGGTAGCATAATAAATTTGCATATCCTTCGGATTGATGTTTGTATCATTACTCAATGTTGAATTCCACTGGCTGTTTCAAGCTTATCTGATGTCGAAGGGACAAATTTCCTTGGCTATTTAAAATATTCACTTTCTAATATGCATTTTTCCAGAAACGAGATATTTAAAATCTTTAGCAAAAGCCATGTATACCTACCATTTAATCAATCTGGGTTCAACAATGAAACATAATCTGATAGTGCAACATCATATTCATCTCTCACTCGATGTGACAACAGATTATCTGTTGATGACCTTTTAATAATGGAAGATGATCTTATTGTTAAAATAGTTTCTGATGTATATGCAATAATTCTTTTAATTTATTGCTATGATGTAGATGGCTGAAATACTATAATCTTTTAAATGCTTTTCCTTTATTTTTCCTTTGACGATGAAGATAATTACCATCTGTTCTTCAAGGCAGACTAGTGGAGTATTCTGTAGAGACAGCCATGGCCGTAATCGTTGATGGAAATGTTAACTTGAAGATCGACACCCAGCATCTGAGAGAACTTAGCTTTCGCATTGGCTCTATATATCAATTTATTGGTGAACTACTTGTTCAATCAGATAATGAGGTGAAATACCATTTTATGACTCTCTTTCTCTCTCTCTCTGTCTCATGTTCACACACAAAAGTATGGACGGGTAGAGTCTTAATGGTCCTGCATTTTCAGGCAACTCTGCAGGCACGTGTAGGCAGGAATGTTGACGGCATTGACCTCAACCTTTATCATCAGTCCCTGCAGCTGTTAAGACAATTTCAGGCTGATCACTTCAACAAGAGGACAAATTAGTTCACTTTTAGCCTTGGGGAGAATCTCTCGTATGTTTCACCGACAGAGGTAATCCAGCTAATTAAAATCCTTGAAATGTGAAAAGTAGGAATGACTTTTTACCTTTTCCTTTGCATCCTGTAAACAAGATCTCAGTAGGTAAACTACTTTTCCACTAATATTCATGTGTTGAATGAACTTCTTGCTGGTAAAAGTGGGTTTTTTTTGCACATTTAGAGTCGGTTAGAATAGGGTGGTTGAAAAAAGTACTGGCAAAACTAGGGTAATTTTTTTAATTCTTACCAAGGCCACAAAATTTTTTTTTAAACATTATTTACCATGTTCATAATTATGTTTCTCAAACATGATTAATTGTGATGTAACTTTACCACGTAGACAAATATTAGTAAATTGTGTCTACTACATATGATTTACTAGAAAATTACTACTAATAAAACTGCCTTATTTTTATCCACACTTTTCAAATGACCTTATGTTTGTTACTTTTTGTAAGTACATTAAAAAATCAAAACAAATCTAGAAAAGAGACAATGGCCCTTCCTTTGCGCGTCTAAATATGTCACACAGTCAGATTAGGGACATTATCTTTAGTGTAAATGCTTTCATTTTTGGCTTGTGAACAAGCGTTCACTCGTGACTAGTCAAACAAAAGGGAAAAAAAGGTGTCACAAGAATCAAAGATACGCGTTGAGCATTCTCAACCATTATTGAGTTGGTTGGTAGGACAGAGCCACCCACACTGTGACTAATAATAGGCTTAGATTGGTAGGAGTAGGGTCCTTCCTTTCCAGTTTTGTGGAGTTCATCATGATCCAATTTCACCAATTTGGTTCCTTTACATTAGAGGATTCAAATCACGACCCTTAATTTCACCTTCCATTGGACAAAACAACCATCAATGACAAAGGAAGAACAGTTGAGATCACTAGCTGGAAAAAGAAAGAACAGTTGAAGTGACTAAAGATGGCTTGTATGGATGTAATTGGGAATTTTTTCTGGTACACCATTCCAGCACTTTGTACTTAGTCCAATCATCCTTCAATTTAGGTTCTATTAGATTTTTAGTTAGGCTTTAATTTGGTCTCTGTGTATTTGAGATTTTTATTTTCGAACTCTATCTTTGGATATAAGCTTACCAAATTTGGATTTGTGAGGGATTGAATTCTAACGTCTTAAGATATTGTGTAGTTCCCTTCCAAAAGAAGTAAAAAAGTTGATAGATATTATTGGTTGTATTCACTTTTCAACCAAATAATATCTTGAAATCCAACTCCATGTTTTTTGATCAATTTGACATGTCAAATCCTCATCTCATTAAAACAAAATATCGTTTGTCACATTAATAAATAACTTGTTAGGTTGGATTTTTATTACTTTATACTAATGGCAAATATGTCGGGATCCGTATAATAATGGAACTTTTGAAAGATTAAGTGTGATGTCTGAAAATATGATTTGACATTTAACTTTTCTTTTTCAATTACAACGTGTGGGGTGGGAATTCGAACTTACGATGTTTTGATCGGAGATAGGTACCTTAACCAGTTGAGCTATGTTCAAATTGGTAAATTTTCCACTAATGGATTGTGAATTTCTTTTAACCCTTTGGTAGCTTTTTTTTCTTTTCCTTCTTATTATCATTCTATATTGTTTTGCATAAAATTGTCATTCTATACTGTTTTGCATAAAATTGTGGAAATTCATCCCTATTCCACTCTTGTTTTGCATACTTTTCAAGCCTTTTATCTATTATAATATGGGAGATTTAGATTGTGACCTTGACCAAATCTCTTTGTTGTAGATTTCATCAGTCCATGTTTTTTCCAATGGAATTTTAGTTGGTGACAAAGAGCCTACAACTCAGAACCTATGAATCTTGAATTAGGTTGATTAGGCATAGGCCAATAGGAATACTTAACCAACCCACTTGAGTTCATAGCTCTGTTGACCAAATTTATAATTACTATGCAAATTGTATTCTAGTGTGTAGGTTGTTCTTGTGGTGTCTAATCCTTGTAATCAAAACTCTTCCAAATTTGTCAAATTTTGTGTGCAAATTATTCCCAAGTAATTATGAGCCAACCAATTTGAAGTAATTTACAAGTTTACTCTTGCCCTAACCCCACTTGTAGAAACAAATGGATTCTTTTGTGGTGTTCTTAGGTTTTCCTTTTCTTCTTTTTGGAAAAAAAAAAGAGTTCGGAGTTGATAGCGATTCTAAGAATTAGGTTTGTTTACTGGCAATTTTCTTCCTTTTGTTTCCTACTTTTTATTTTTCATTAAAATATATATTTTTTTGTTTTCAAATTTGGGTTGATACTTTTTAGGTTTAAATACCATTTTACTTATGATATGCTCAACTTTTGTTCAAAACGTTCATTTTGATTTTCATACCTATTTAACAATAAACATTTACAAATTTGTTTAAAATCTGAAAAAGAATTTTGAAAATCGAATTCTTTTTAGTTTCACGTGTATAAATAAAGAATAAAATCCAATTGTGAGTTTTTCCTATTTTGCTGTTATTTATGCAATTTTTTGAAAAGATAGGATAGTATAATCTAGACTAGTTTTGGAATTCTTTTGGATTTATATTATTTTAGATTTCAATAATAATATTTATATAGAATACGTTACCTGTTTTTT